TTGTTTTGCAAGTTATACCAACATGTCCCTGATAGAGTAATTGTAGGAGTAATCGACCAATTGAGAAGGAAAAAGAAAAAAAATGATGAAAAATAAGTGTTCAACACTGACATCACATTGGCGAAAGGGAGATTCATGAAAGAAAGCAAGTCCAGAATATTGTAGATCCGCCGTTGATGGATCACAATTTGAAGTTCATAAATTTTTTGTTTCTCCATTTATTTCTTATTTTGGCTTTTTCAAAATTAGCGCATGAATTATCAATATTATAAGATTATATATATTCATTCAGATGGCTTATTATTTTGACATAATTCTATATATATATATATATATATATATATAACAGTGTGCACTCACAAGACCATTCAGTGAAAGGGACTATAACAATATCAAAATTTGTCCAAATTTTGGGAATATTTCTGGTTCATGGAACACGAGAGAATAACATGAAAGGTTAGTTATTTTATTGAAAGACACAACTCTTTAGGAGAGAAACGATAAATCTACGTTTATTTTATGATAATATCATTGAATATAATAAGCACTATTTTATATAATTTACTCAATGTGGTAATTATGATTGGTATTATGAACTAATAAGTTAGTTTGTTTTATGAAAGAATAATTTATTTTTTGTCCACCAAATGTACTGAATGTTAAAGAAATTAAACCTTAAAGGAAGAATGAGATTCAAAACGTTTATTTTGTCAAATTACGCTGAAAAAGTGGGTGAAAAGCTAAGATAGAATTGGAATAGTCAATAAGCACTATCGAGTCATATTTATTGCAAGAGACATGCATATTCAAACTCAATTTATAAAAAACACATATTAAAACTCCTACAAAATTTGTGATTTGAAAACAATAATTTTAAATTAGTGAAACTTAATTATTTGTTAAAAAAATATCAAATATTGGTCGTTCTTTAATAACTATTTTAGCACTTGAACAATTACTATATTTTAAGTTCATAAACTGAATTTCCGAGCAAATGACTTAAATTTTGGACCTTCCAAAAAGCTATACAATAGTACATAGATGATTTGTAGTGGATATAACAACAATGTATACGTGCAGAAATTATAACTGGTCAATATGCTACCAAGCATGTGCTTATTCTAAGAATTTATTAATTTTCTCCGTGAAAATGAAGGATATCCTCTCAATTTTCTCAGAATATATCTCCATCTACTTTTATGTTTTGCAAGGACGATAAAAAAAACATACGTCAAACAAATTCCAATATCTGACAGTTTCTACCACATCGTGTTTTCACATAGCAAACTTTAATTACTCTTAAGAGATATCAATGTCGACAACAAGAATCATCATCATAATAGCGCAACCAAAATGGATGAAAGTAACATATACTAGGAAAATATATTTATATCTCATGAAAATAAAATTGATAAAAAAAATAAGTCACCCATAATATCCAATCATCTTGACCTTGGCAAACAAGTAACTATACGATAATCCACATTGATCGTTCGACCGGCTTATATTTTATTCATTCATATACTATTACTTATTCAAAATTTTGCTCTAATAATATTGATATTATTTTGAAAATTTGTGTACTACATAACTCGGCATACACGTGCAACGCACGTGTCGAGAGACTAGTATATATATAACAAACAAATACAATAACGTTAAACAAAACAGGCCTGCGTATTTAGGAGATCGATATTTATTGTTGAGTTTGATTCAAAGGCTGAAATGAAAATGAAAATCCTCTTCATCTCTCCTTTCCAAAATTTCTGACTTTCAAGGGTTGTCCATTACCATTCATTCAATATCTATCCCTATAAGTATAAGTATACTAGTTTTAGGGTACGCGCATTGCCCTATATTAATGAATATAAATTTCTTAAAATTACATTGTTAGATAGTACTATGTTAAAATGGATTTAAGTTATAAAGTAAAGTTTAAAAAAAAAAAAAAATTCTAAAATTGATGAATATTAAAACGACAAAAGTCCTCGAATTAGAAGCAACAAAGCCGATCCATCATGTTTATATCATAATTTATCGTTGGTACATCACCTTGTGCATGCATTCTTTCATCTCATTCGTTCCGTAAATCCTCCTCAAAATATTACAAAATTCAAGGTATTTGTTCGGTGCAAATTCAACAACACACACAAAAAAAAATACGCAGTAAAATGTATTGGTATGACAAAAATATTTTCTTGGAGCCATTACCTGAAAACAAACTCCAAAAAAATACTTTCTAGAATAGATTAGAAAAGGGAGATAAAACTGTAAGTTTTGAATCTTATATTCTTATCCGATAAAATGTTATGTTCTATTTAAGTTGTAATTTTTAATTATGAATAACTCTACTTTAAATCATTTCGTATAAACATTTATATTTTCATGGACTAATCTCCAACAATGGATGTTATAGTATTCCGTAATCACCGAGTATTTTTTATGAGACTAATAGTCAAGCTTCTAAAATCAGCTTATTTTGAGAAGTGCTTTTTCAAAAGTACTTTTTAAAAAAGTGTTTTTGGTGAGAAGTAGTTTGTGTTTGGCTAATTAATTTGAAAAACACTTTTGAGCAGTAATTAGTGTTTGGCCAAGCTTTTGAAAACTGTTTTCAAGTATATTTTTCTTAAAAGTGCTTCTCAGAAAAGTGCTTTTGGAGAGAAGCTATTTTTTTCTGCTTCTGCTTCTCCTCAAAAACACTTTTTTTTCCTTCCAAAAGCTTGGGCAAACACCTCAATTTTTTAGCAAAATTGCTTTTAGTCAAAAAAAAAAAAATACTTTTGGCCAAAAAAACCTTGGCCAAACAGGCTATAAGTTGGTGTCGGCATGGACTAATCTTTCAACGGACTAATTAATATTATTAGTCGTATTTTTTTTTTTTTTTTTTTTTGGTTTGTAACATCCTTTCTTCAATATGAAATATATTTTTTTTAAGTTTTTTGTAATAAGAAAAGAATTTTATATTAGGTAGAATCTTAGTTGATTTATTTATGAATTCCTACATAATTTCAACAAGGAAAGACGTACCAACTAAAATTTTAGTTAATTTTAAAATTCTAAATATTAGGAATGCAACTTAAATAATTTTATATGTTATCCCATTTCAATTATTACAAATTTTTATCTTTACAAATTATAAATTCTTTACTGTCAATTTTTTTTAAAAATACAAATTTGTTTAAGTATAAAAAAAAATAAAAAAAATCAAAAGTTTTAGTTATTGGGACACATTATTCCTTCAAATTTGATTGCATTGTCATGATCAAAGAATCTGTAATAAATAAGAAAAAGCTACAAAATAATATCTAATCTTAACATACAATTTTTGTTTTTATAGAATTCACGATTTATAGTAAAATCTGACCTCATTGGCTCATAAAAAAAACCTCAAAATATAAGCGTTTCCTGAAGAGCACATAAAAGATCCAAACTAATTATACTGAAAAACAAAATTGTAATAACTGCAAAATCCATAACATCAAGAGAAGAATAAAACTTTAAACTATAAACTATTTATGTGTATCTTGTTAAAGTTGGAATCATAATGAATCCTGTAGCGAACTCTTTAAAAGATGTGTTTTATTTATAAGTGAACTACAATATACAGAGATACAAGGCCATATTTTAAAGTTACTATCTTCACCAATGAACTAAAAACGGACAAAATAGAATAGAATCAGTTGAAATTAATAAAAAAAACATTCGATCTATTTTTTTTTTTAAAAATGTAGAAGAATTAACCAAAATAGCCGACCGCCCAACTGCTTAAACTAAAAATAGCCAATAAATGTATAATATATGCATAACTTATATATTATATGTGTATAATTGTATATAATCAATGTATACTCTATGCTTATGGCTAGAAAATCAATAGAGAACTAATAATACTTTTTTTTTTTTAGATATTTGTTAAATTTCGCTCTTTTATTCTGCAGCCGTCCACATAGATTTTGATTAATACTCTTTAAAAAAATGTTGATGGAGAATGTAGAATAATAACTTTATAGAAGTGTTTGGCTTCCCTTTTCTCTAGATGATTATAGCAAATAAGTTCAAATCTCATTAAATCGTAAACCCAAGCGGAATCTCTGTTTACGTCGGCGGAATATTTTACAATTTGACACATTAATTGCAAAACAACTATTTGGGACCTTATGTCGAAAGCAATAAATTAGAATAATTCAAGTTTCCATGTTTAAACACACATAATAATTAACATAAGGTAAGTTTTTTTAATTTCACGTTCTATGTATTTTTTAGTTTTAAATTTTTTTAATTGATTTTAAAGGTCTAAATAATGCAAATAAGGAAAGATTTAATAAACTAAATTTTATTTGATTTCAAAGTCTTAAATATTAGGAAAATTATTAAATGACAATGTTGTCCGATGTAAAATCTAGTTTAAATGACAATGTTGTCCGATGTAAAATCTAGTTTTAAGGGGTATACAAGGCGATATTTCGCTAAGGGCCTTCGTGCTTTTAATATAGTATATAAATATATTAGTATGGTTGGAGCAGCACCGCCTAAGGATTCACATATGGTAAGTTTTGAGTGCGATATCAGATATTTAGAAGGGCTACATCAAAAGTTTCCGAAATTCACATTAGGGTTACGCTGTGCTGCTACTAAATAGGTATTTTTGAAAGGAAAACTAATCCTAGAGAAAGAAAAATATATTTAAAAATTTCAACGTAAGAGCTACGCATAACTCAACAAAAGTAGGCGGTGCCTTTGTTATATATAGCCATATAAGCTAGGCCTAGCCTTCGAATAATTAAGTCCTGGGAGGGAGATGAAGAAACTTTCATACATTGAAGCTATATCTGAGTGGCATGGCAGATTCTTGACAGATGATCATCTATATTTGAATCTGCCATCCTACTCAGATCTGATTTCAATCTATGATTATTGCCTATTGATCCATTACAGGTATGTTTTTATGTTCTTTCTTCAATAATTGTTTTCAAAAATATTAGGATGGTGCAAATCTTGGCTAAAACAGCGCAAACCTTGATCATGATGTTCATAAGTTTAAGATTTCGCAAAATAATTTGTTTATGATGTTCATAACAAATACCGACATCAATTCTTGGTCTAATTACCGTAGAAATAAGGGCCATCATTACGAGTTAAAGAATCTAAGTTTCATACTTTTTCTTCAATAACTGGCACAATGAAAAGTGAATAACTTTGAAGAGCTCTCATTGATTAGAGTTCGGAAGGGAGCAGCTATGCCGGACCTCTCCTTGGGATCCAGTAAGAACACCAAAATCTGATAATTTGGCCATGGCATGAGCAAACTCTGTACGGAACATAGTCCCGTCATCCAAAGCATAATCAATCACCGCTGCTGCAGTCTTTTCATGAGCCATCAACTGTTGATCAGCAAACAATAGCCCTCTTCCTCTCATTAAAGTCTTGTAGTAGTGATTATCAAATGAAGCTCCAACAGCTGACTCACTCAGACTCCTAGCTGTACGTTCATTGAGCATATTGTTGATGGTGCTATTATTTTCTGGACAATCCCGCTTTAACTCTTCAAGGAAGTCAGAAGGAATTGTTGGATCAGGCAAACCTGTCCCCATGAAATTGCTGAGCCTTGGCCGAATGAATTCACATCCAATCTTCCCAATGTTATGTCCCCCTTCAGGTGTAAGGAAAAAAGAACAGAAAATTTCAATAAATGTATATCCCAAAAAATAAGGTGCAGTGTATGCAGACTAATGTAATGGGATCAGAAAGATTACCAAGGAGTGCCACTGTTTCCCTCTCATCAAATCCTCGAAGGGAAAATAGCCTAAGAGTTTCGCTGATATTCCCATTTGGTCGTGGAATTTCAGCCATGGCCTCATCAAAGAATGACTCCTTACTATCCTTTCTGCCCGTTAACACAGGATAATATGGTCCACCAGCCTAAGATGTAGGAAAATAACACGTAATAAGGAAAGATTGCAGAATGTTCGAATTTAAAAAAAAATGGAAGATCAGTGATCCTAATTTCAGGTCTCTATCAAACTCAAGCTTGAAAGCATCAAAAATCAAATTGCTATCTTGAAAGATAATTTGATGAGCCTTTTTGTCTTAAATATTTGATGACCTTGTTTATATTTTGCAATCTTTGGTTTCTGCACTTTATGCTTGAATGCATCTTTCTGGTGTTCAACTTGTACAAAATAACTGTCAGTTTTGAGGCGAACTGTGTTGGGTTTCCTGGTGTAGATTTTAAACTTATACACTATGTCTAAATTTATGGCCGATGACTCCAAAAGTCAGCTGTTTTTCGGTGCATGAAAGTAGTTCTCATCTAAAGTGCTTAAGCATTTGATGTTGACATTGTCTTCTCATTATGTTTACATCAAACTAATAGTTCAACCGTATCATTCTTGAAATATCCAAGAGTATCTACTGCTGTATGGGAACTTATGTAACTCATATTATGCTCAAGCTCTCACCTCGAGCCAATGCAGTTTCGGTGTATCAAAACCTTGTAAGCTTAGGTTGTACTAAATGAACTAGCTTAAGAGTTATAAAAGCTCCTAATTGATCAATTCTTTGCAACCAGCTCACACACTTGTGAAAATAACTTTCTGAATTTCTAGCAGACTTTCTTCCAACAGAAATGGCTCCTCTAAGAATTTCTTTCTCTCCTTCCCACCACACTATCACTGCATCATCTGAATCGCCATAACCATCTTCGACGAGTGGCCTACATCCTTATCAGCTTGAGCAGCGCCTTTGCCTTGTCAAGATTGCAACTGGCAAAACTATGCAATCATTGAAGTGGAAATAAAAATGGGAAGTACGTCTCTAGCTAAGTGGTCACTTCTATACACTATTTTGTATGAGATCGTTTTATCTTTCCTGAGAGGTGGTGGAATGGGTTATAGTTATTTTGTTCAGTCATATCAATAGATTTTGTGGAAAATTCAGTAAAAACTACAGTTAAGAGTAGCATAGCCTCAAAGTCACAGCACCAATATTTCCCAGAAAAATAAAAAGAGCCATAGACTAAAAGGTGAAGGAAAAAAAATCAATAATGAGAGAACAATTACTAAAAAAACAATATCACTAACGAGGAGACAAGCCAACATAATTGTCAATAGTGTCATTTGGACAATATTCTGGAATAACAAAAAGTAAAATAAAAATTAAAGAAGTACTTTTAAAGCAAATTTTGTTCAAAACAAAAATATTTTTGTATAGTTGTAACTTGAGAAGACTTATATTAAAAAGAACAAAGGCACAAAGGAGAAGAAATAGTTTCTTGGGATGAAATATGAGGGTTGCTTTGGCTGTATCTCCAATCTTAGTTACTTTATGGGGGTTGTAACTGCAGCTTCAATTTTTACTACATGCAACATACATTTCTCAATGGTCATTTAGGAAGAAGTAGCTGCACTTATAATATTTTATTAAAATTATATAGCTTTACGAAACTGCTATAAGCTTCTGGGAATTTTTGTTCATAACGAGTTCCTGAATGAAGGTAAGGATTGAATTAACCAGCCAATGGCTAGTGTAGGTATGCATAAGAAAACAAAAAATATATAGACATTCTAATTAAGATAAGATGATTGATGTAGTTTTCATGGCAGTTTTAAAGGAAAGAGATTCGTTTGAGCGAGAAGAGCATTTTCTACATTTTTCTCTCTTAGTGATGGTGGGAGTATGGAAGGTGACAGGCAATAAATGGTAGGTCCAATGGAGCTTATGAAGACATTGATAATAGCCAATTTTGCTCCAAAAGCTAGAAGAAACTTCCCGTGATGAATACTTTCAAATAATTACATATTATTAAAATTGCACTATTAACAAATGATGAAGGTATCAGAAGTATCTGTTATGTACTAGGAACATCTGAATATGCACAAGCACAACAAGATCATTTAACGAAATTAATATGAGGAAACTGGCATACATGCCAGTGAATAAATTACACTTACAAATCAGTATAAGAACAAGAATCTTTTTTAAAAGAAACTTCAGGTAGTTACTACTCCATAAGAAACAAAGAACAAGGCCAGACTCATACCAGAACGATGCCATCTCTCGTTGCAAGGACAAGGATATCAGAACAAGAGACAACCCCAGGGCATGCCTCCTCAATTTCATCCTTTATCATATCGATGAAACTGAACCCTTTAAGTGTCCTATTAGGGATCGCCTCGCGTTCAACAGTCCCATTTTTATTACTGTTAGCAAGCAGAACAGATGCATCACAACCCTAGAATGAACAGAACAAGAATTGTCATAAACGTAAGAACTTACAAAGAAAAGATAAAGATATTATTATCGAATTTTGAATGTTTTCACAAGTGATGTTGGCAGTTGTCAGAGTCTTAGAGTGGCTATTGAGATTTAAGCATAAAAACTTCATTGACATTAAATATTTTTAACTTCTCCTATAAAGTAAAGGGAATACTGAACTCCGTAAGCAAGGCGAGAAAAGTGCTAATGCTGACAAAATATATAGTTAGAATAAGAGTGCACATTTGAAACTCAAAGAGCATCTAACGGTTGAAACCTCCATCCAAATCAAACAACCAAAACGAGGCACAAATATACATGAGAACATACGAAGAATGACAGGCGCATGGCACACAAATTAAGATCAAAAAGCAAATTGAAACGAAAGAAAACATCCACAAATATATTGCAGAAATACAAGCATTAACATCCAATGAATTGTGGACGCGGGCACAAGTACTGATAAAACTACATGTTAAGCATCTACATGCTAGAACTCATTAAGAGCACTTTCTGAAAATAGGAATGACAATAGTAACTGAGTCAGTTGGAACAGTTAAGATCCTTGACTTAGAAAAGACTTAACACCAAGGCACGAGAACACATAAGTTCATATGAAGAATTAAAAGGCCATAATGCAACAAATGATGAATTTCAAGGCTAATTAAAGAAATGTCGGGGGAAATGAAAATGAAGTCACAACCATTACATGCAAAGAAAATATTAGAGTGAGATAAGGCACGAAACAGAATAGGAGTATGATGTACTGGGATCACAATCACTTACAGGGTAGAACCAAGAATAACAGTAAGAAGTGCAAAAACCAGCATTCCTCCCCATCCCCATCTCAATTTCCAACCCCCAAAAAGATGGAAAAGTAAACTAGTGCTAGAACCCACAAAACACCTGATTAATTGACTCTAATGTACAATGCACAAAAAGAAAAACATACATCAAGAATCAGGAAATCGCAACAAAGTAACAAAATGTGGAGCACAAAGAAATTACAGATTAAGAAAAACAAAAACAAATTTGGAGAAAATGAGAGAGTAGGGTACGGTACCCCAATGAAACAATCATGGAAGAGCAGGCGCAAGAGTTGTGCTGGTGCATTGTGTTGCATCGCCACTATTCTGTGCATCGTAGACCATACCATTTCCTCCACATCCCTTTCGCATTGTTCCTCATAATAATTATATCTGAATGGCATGGCAGTAAAAGCGCCACTTTCTGGCATTGTGCCCTGGGCCATCAAAAGGAACGCAACCAAGAATGGCAGAACCGCCATGGAAACCCTGTTCTTGCTCAACATTTTGAATTTTGAGTGGAAAACTCTAAGACTTTAGAGAGAAAGTAGCGAGAGTTTGGGGCAAGCGGTGGTGAAGACTTACACCTGACTTGCCTTCTAATTGTACCTCTACATATATACAGAGTATATTAGCTAGCGCCAGTATTTCACATTAACGTAGTAAGCAAGCGAGGGGGCGGGGGATAATAAAAGGCTTCTCCTCTTCTTCTTCTTCCTCCTTTTTTTTTAGGTGGAGAATAAAAATATTTTAGTCTGTGAGATATTTGTCCAAGTGATAGAGTATTTAAAAATGAAACAATTTTTGGACCCAAAAAAAATTGACTTATAACACTCTAACATTTAATTAATCTTAACAGAATTAATTGTTCAATGTCCATGTCGTAGCTACTATGGTGAATCGGCTCCTTGTTAGTTGTTAGAGTAAATTATATTAATCCATAGTAAGGAGATGTTATGTAACGTGAATGAAGAACAGTAGATATAATACTTAGAAATGGAGAATTATTTTTTATTCAACGAAATTATTATAATCTAATTAAATTGCAATTCTCTATGCAAGGATTGTAGAGTTATCCCGAGTGAGTCCCTCGCGACACAACATAGGCTCTTGATGATGGACGCCGGCATCATAATAAAGAAGAAAAAGTGGGTTATTTGGAGTCGTCCGAGGATCAGGTGGGGAGCTTTGTCGAAAGATAAAGCGCAGGTGTTGGAGAGGAAGTTGATGGATATGGGGCCTGAAAGAGTAGTGAGGACGCGAGAAGCATGTGGACAATGACGGCGAACTGTATTAGGGAGGCCACGAAGAAGGTGTTAGGGGTCTCAAAGGGCTACTCTAGGGGGCACAGAGGGGACTGGTGGTATAATGAATAGGTTCAAAGAAAAGTGGAGGCCAAGAAAGCGGCATGCTTGAAGTTAGTGGAGAGCTCAGATGAGGAGGAGAGAAGAGCGAACAGAGAAGGGTACAAGAAGGCTAGGAAAGAGGCGAAACTAGCGGTCACAAAGGACAAAAATGCAATGTTTGGTGGCTTGTATGAAGAATTAGGGGATAAAGGCGGGGACAAGAAGTTATTTCGGCTGGCCAAGGTGAGAGAGAGAAAGGCACGTGATTTGGATCAAGTGAGGTGCATCAAGGACGAGGATGGCAAAATTTTAATGGATGAGGCTCAGATTAAGCAGAGATGGCAGACTCACTTTCACAAACTTCTTAACGAGGAGGGGACAGAGATATTGTGTTGGGCGATTTGGAGCACTCCGAGAGTCGCCGTGATTTTGGGTATTGTATTTAAGGTCGATGGGTCGTGGGGGGCTATGTGTAAGAAGAGCAGGGGCAGAGCGACTGGGCCAGATGAAATTCCGGTTGAGTTTTGGAGGTATGTGGGTAGAGAGGGCGTAGAGTGGTTGTCGGGATTGTTTAACGTTATTTTTAGGACGAAGAAGATGCCAGAGGAATGGAGATGGAGTACGATGATTCCGTTGTACAAGAACAAAGGTGATATCTAGAGTTGCAACAAATATAGGGGTATTAAGTTGCTTAGTCATGCTATGAAAATGTGGGAGAGGGTGGTGGAAGCGGGGGTGAGGAGGTCAGTGTCTACATCAGAGAACCAATTCAGGTTCATGCTTGGCCGTTCAACTATGGAAGCTATCCATCACATCAGGAGGTTAGTGGAACAGTACAGGGATAGGAAGAAGGATTTACACATGGTGTTTATTGACATAGAGAAAACGTACGACAAGATCCCAAGAGAGGTTCTTTGGAGGTGTTTGGAGGCTAAAGGTGTTCTGGTAGCATACATTAGAGTGATTAAGGACATGTATGATGGAGCTAAGACTCGGGTTAGGACAATGGGAGGTGACTCGGAGTATTTTCCGGTAGTTATGGGGTTGCACCAAGGATCAGTGCTGAGTCCTTTCCACTATTTGCCCTGGCGATGGATGCGCTAACACACCATATTCAGGGAGAGGTGTCATGCTGTATGTTATTTGCTAATGATATAGTCCTGATTGATGAGACGCGAGGCAGTGTCGGCAAGTTCAAGATGAGGGGGACTAAGACAGAATACTTGGAGTGCAAGTTCAGTGACGTAACGGAGGAAACGGACAGTGACGTGAAGCTTAATTCACAAGTCATCCCCAAGAAAGGGAGTTTTAAGTATCTTGGGTCTATTATCCAGGGGAACAGGGAGATTGACAAGGATGTCACACACCACATAGGGGCGGGATGGATGAAATGGAGGTTAGCATCTGGCGTCTTGTATGGCAAAAAGGTGCCACTAGAACTTAAAGGCAAGTTGTATAGAGCGGTGGTTAGACCGGCTATGTTGTATGGGGCAAAATGTTAGCCAGTCAAGAACTCTCATATCCAAAAGATGAATGTAACATAAATGAGGATGTTTGAGGTGAATGTGCGGGCATACTAGATTGGATAAGATTAGGAATGAAGATATTCTGGCTAAGGTGAGGGTGGCGCACATAGATGAAAAAATGCGGGAGACGAGGCTTAGATGGTTCGGGCACGTGCAGAGGAGAAGCCTTGACGCTCCGGTTAGGAGGTGCGAGCGGTTGGCTTTGTCAAGTGTGAGAAGAGATAGAGGGCGACCTAAGAAATATTGGGGAGAGGTGATCAGGCAAGACATGGCGCAACTCTAGCTCACCGAGGACATAATCTTAGATAGGCAGGCTTGGAGCGCGAGCATTAGGGTCGTAGATTAGTAGGTAGTTGAGCATTTTTCTTCCCTGTTGAGGGTGTTAGGCTAGTTTGTAGTGTATTGCTTTAGATTATTAGTGGTACTTGTTGTGTTTGTATTGTTTTCTGCTCCGATTGCCTAGTACCTTCCCATTATTTTGATTATTGATATTGCTTTTTCCATTTATTTTTCTGATTCTTAGGTTGCTGGCATTGTCTTCTTGACATATATGGTTGTTATTGTTCTATTGCCTCTTTTTCATCTCCTTGTGCTGAGGGTCTTTCGGAAACAACCTCTCTATCCTCCGGGGCAGGGGTAAGGTATGCGTACACACTACCCTCTCCAGACCCCATACGTGGGATTATACTGGGTTGTTGTTGTTGTTGTTGTTGTTGTTGTTGTTGTAATTAAATAGCAATTCTAAGCAAGTAAGGATGACAGAGTGAGATTCAGTAACCGAATTACCGGAATAAGCTTGAATGCTTGATATATCAGTTTTGGTTATAATAACAGAAGAAACAATCCTTTTGTTATAATAACAGAAGCAATCCTTATGTAGATATCTATTGGCTTTATGCTTTTGTGGAATAAGCTAGACTTTCTGTATGTCTTGGAGGTGTAATCTTTATGGATGGTAAAAACGTTGTGATCTTGATTTTTTGAGCTTTTTTTTCCTCTCAAGACAGTGTATATTCTCATCCACTAGCTTTAGCATTATGCTGAATAGCTGATGTTCATGTCTATGCGGAAATTTCATTGCTTGGATCTTCATTAGATATTCACTACTATAAGACTTCAATGAGAGACGTTTTGTGTTCCCTGTTCAAGCAACAACTCTCTTGCTCGGACCCTAAAAAAAGTTGCCGCACCTGTATCGGATCCTCCAAAAATACATAACTTTTGGAGGATAAATACACGTGACCATATTTTTAAAGAGATGGAGCAATCATAAAACCGCAGTTAAAGAGAATAGAGTCCAGCCACGAAAGCTTTGAAGCGAATTTGCTTTGAGCAAAAGCCTATGTGATACTGTGGTCTTACAATCTTCAACTTTTGAACAGGGACTGTTTAGGACAGATTTTGCTCATGCAATGGCTAAAATGTCAAATTTTTATTTTACTTTGAATAAACCCCACGAAATTTTATAATGAAATATGCTACCCTTCAAATTATTCAAAAAAAAGTTAGGTACAAAAACTTGACTCATATCGTGGATGATAAAATCTACTCCTATTTAGAATTCAATGTTGTGTGTGCAGAGGAGAAATCCAAAATCAGAAGATCATACTGGTCTATTTCTATAGCTTAATTGGAGCTTTTTCCCTTCTTTTTAAGAGGCCATTGCTAACAACTAACAAGGCACAACTTGTCATTTAGGAATGTGTTGGATTTCTAGCCCTACCCTAATTCAAACATACAATTTGGTACGATAAAGAAAAGTGGAATTTTGATATGTGATGCTGACTTACACTATAGCACCAGAAAGTAATTTGCACCTTGTATTTGCGCCAAATCAAACATTTTAACCTCAAAAGTTACAAATTAAAATAAAATACATATTACTTAACCATGGTTAAACAAAAATGTTTGTAAAGAGACGTATACATTTTATATTCATTCATTTGGTGTCAACATTGGGCGGACATAATCTTTTGTATAGATTGAAGTATTAAAAGTTGTCATATAGCAGAATGATTCTCTGTGCGGTTCTCCAAAATCCCATCATTTCTCCTCATAGAAACCATCTTCACAGGTTCTTATAGATATAGGAGGAAATTTCTTTCACAGTTTCAGGGACAGTCTCTAGCAAGAATAAAAAGGAATATACAGAAATTGCCATGAAAGTTCATTTCCTGCTCGACACAATCGGGCTGGTGCTCCCTTCCAAGAGCTAAGTAGAGTGCCCAGTCAACAATACCAGTCAAATCCTTAAAATTTATCACAGATTACCAACACCATTATCACCAGTAATCGCCACAAGAACATTGGCCACCACTAAAATGGTGAAACCGATAAGGATCCCTCAATATGATTTCCCTCCTAATAATGCTGCTTACGAACTTGAAAACTGAATGGCAATCGCCACAGACTCTAAGGTTCTTAAATATTCGAAGAGTTGAACCTTCAGGAGTACTAATCAAACCGTATGCTAGTGCAAGTCTTTCACTATGCATCCATAAATTGTGCTCTTTCTGTTCTTCATCCGTGTCATGCAATGCAAAGCTTATATCAGCAATATAACCGGCCTCCTGAATCTTTTTTCTCAGTTCTGTCAACTTCCTGTATATTTTCTCTGACTTCGGGTGAGACAAGTCTCCGATCCCAAAGGTGCATATTTGGTTCTTTAACTTGACCCAACTGCAAGCAAGCTGCTTTTTCACTTTATGCAATTCCATTTCAGCTCTCACATTCTGAACGTCCTGCCATCTCCCCGAAGTTGCACACATATTTGAATAAAGAACATAAGCTGAGTCATCCGATGGGTTAGATTTTAGAAGATTTTCGGCTGCTACCTTTCCTAGTTCTGTATTTCCATGCATCCTGCATGCTGCCAACAAGCTTCTCCAAACAAAGTCGTTTGGTGGCACTGGCATTTCTTTAATAAAAGCAATGGCTTCAGGGAACCTTCCAGATCTTCCAAGAAGGTCTACTACGCAAACACAGTGCTCTATGCCAGCCAGGACTCCAAATTCAGAAGTCATAGAAGCAAAATATCTCAGACCGTCATCTACTAGACCACCATGACTACAGGCTGATAGAAGAGAGACAAAAGTCACATGGTCTGGCTTTGAACCTTGCTTTACCATATCGTGAAAAGTATCTCTAGCTTTCTGGAACAATCCATGTCTGGCAAAAACAGATATTAATACATTCCAAGATAATCTTGCACGCATATTTGGTTCGGGGAATATTTTCAGAACATCATTCATTTCACCACATTTCCCATACATATCCATTGTAGCATTTCCAACAAACGAATTTGAGTCAAACCCAAGTTTAGTAGCTAAACAGTGAATCTGTTGACCCTCTTCCAAGGATGCCAAGTTTGCTGCGGCTGAAAGTGCAGCAGAGAGGCTGAATTGGTCAAACTCCAGTTTTTCCCTTTGCATCTGCAGAAGAAGTTTCAACGCTTCCTCCCAGAGACCAAGACGAGCATTGGCAGCAAGCATAGCATTCCAGGTCACTGATGTCTTATTTAGTAGTGCATCAAAGATAAGATTACTTGAATCGAGATCGCCACAGTCCGCATACATAGTGATGAGAGAGTTCCTGACGCATTCATTTGTCTCAAAACCAGTCAGAATTATATGTCCATGCAACGGCTTGCCATAGTTCAGCAGATCAGTTTCAGTTGAGCAAGAACCAAGAACATTAATCAAAGTAATGTAATTTGGAGAATTCTCTTCCTCTCTCATTGACTTAAAATTTCTCACTGCCTCAAGTGTGTCCTTATTATCTGCATAGCCACCAATTAATGCATTCCAAGTGACTAATTCCTTGTCAGGCATTTTTTGAAATACCTTTTTAGCCTCCCACATCATACTACACTTCCCATACATGGTGACTAATGCATTGCCAACTATTAAATTGTTATGGAGCCCATGAACAATTACAAGAGCATGAACAGTTTTTCCTTCATCAAGCAATTGACCATCTGAACACGCAGCCAAAGCACTAGCGAAAGTCACATAGTTAACTGTTCTTTGCAAGTGAAGCAGTTCAGCGAACACTTCCAAAGCTTTGAAGTACTTACCTGTTAAAACATAACCAGCCATCATGGAGTTCCACGAAATCACATCCTTTGCTGGCATG